CATATAATAGATTTTACTACGAGATTACAGTGCGTATATTTACGTATACCAACGTTTACACATTGAAGATGGCGTACACACGATGCGACTGTGAATGTATTCGATTTTCGCGGATTTCTAGTTCGTGAGGCACCTATTCCTTTTATTAATACATATCACGATAAACTCGGTCCAATTATTTAACGATCCGTGTTAAACGGTTTAATGCGCACTGCGTGGGAACATTTTATTATTATATTATTAATATACGATTTATAAACTATATATGTACTGTATTATTGCGTACATCTAAATGTCACGTTATAGTAATGCGTATTAAATTTTTATTCAAATCGTACCCGGATTAAAACCGAGTTTAACATAATATGAACAAGTAATATTATTATTATCATTGCCATTATTATATCACATTTCGACGTAAATCGCGAATTTTTAGATAATAACCTTACGACATCCCGAGATTTACGACAATATTATATTATGATGTAAAATACAGTGTTTTTACACGAATAATTCCGAAGAGATTTAACGCGAGTACAAGGAAAAAATGTCGCCTTTGTCGCGTACAATATATATATATATGTACATGCGTCGTATAATGGTGAATAATTTATTATGTAAAAAAAAAAAAAAAATCTCCGTTAGGTCAATCGATGAAGTCAGTGGAAACTGCGAGTGTGTAATAGATTGTCATTATAGCTGTCGTTTGTAACACAATGATATAAATGCGCGTAGGATAGTCACAATATAATATATGTACGTATAGCATTATAGCATAATATAATGATGACATTCCATGCTCGGGGGTTGACTTTTGTGCGCGCGGACGTGACGCGTTCAATACGAACCGGTCCGATCGTTTTACTCGCAGTTTTCGTACGTTTTTATAATAATATAGGATGTCGCATCCACAAAGGTCCCGGCCGAGACCGACCGACGTCGACGGCGTTGGTAATATAATAGTATAAAACGACCCTGTTCGGTAAATACGTGCCTGGTCATCATCCCGCCTGTATAATATAAGTATAATATAATATAGCACTATATAACACACATGCACACACACACACGTGTGTACACCCGAAAAAGAATGGAGAAAGAACCTATACACGAAAAATGGGTTTCTGTGCGCGCGCATATTATTATTATTATATGGCACCAATATACATATTATTATTATTATAACACTGCAGTGCGTGTGTTGTATTGTGCGGGTACGGTGATATCTTTTGTACGGCGTACCTCGCGGGGTTCTTATTGGGTATTTTTTTTCGTCGTCGTCGTTGTTGTTCCATCTTCTTCGCAGGTCTTTTTCGTGACCGAGAACGCGTCGACCGTATTAGAACAGCTCCTCGTTAATACCTCGACCACGGTCGCTGGTCACGATCCGTTCCCCGCTCGCTAAACGTCTAATTGTACGACTCCCGGCGGCTGCTGACGGAGGTACAAAAAAAAAACCAAACAAAAATACGAAAAATACGAATAAACTACAAATTATAAACGCACGCACGCGCGTCAAACACATAATAAACGCACTCCAATACGTGTGTTTTGCTCGGGATCCTTCAGAGAGGACCACTGTCAATTGCAACCGCGATGGGGCTGGACACTGGAGCGTTATTGTTGCGATTGTTGTATATAATAAGTAATAACCTAATGCATATACGACGTACGCGTGTTTATTGCGTTCGAAATCGGACCGATCGGACGTCACAGCTTGCAAGCGAGGTTAAACGAGTTTTAGAAATGTCAACCTTAAACGATGTGTAAGAGTATAATATGTATAAAACACTATAGTAGTAATGACAATAATTATTGTCGTTTCCGATCGAATCGTGCTCGGACGGTTTCTCACGTTTTTGTCTTATAACGAGCGTGTCCTTCCCAAAATATCAATTTTATTACATTATTGTACGCACTATACGTGTATATAGAGTACCTCCTATTGAGATTAAAACGCGTTTTTCCATTAGAAATGACTGAGTTTTCGAAAAACGATTTATGCGTCTATTATAATATGTGTGTCTAGCGCCTACTGTTCGATATTATATTTTAATATAAACACGCTTCTGCAAAGCTTTCGAAAACGACCTAATAACTATTTGTAATGAATAATGATTATTGAATAGACATTATTGGAAATTACATTTTCGATGGCAATTGGTATGTGTACAGTACTATAATATTCGTTACGATTATTCTTTAAAACAATTTCAAACGTGCTACTAAATTCTCCAATAATAATGAGCGATACAAGCTGTTCAGTTAATATGTTACCGTTTCATCGTCATAAAGCTCAATTGTTTATTTAAATTTTATTAATTAAATTGAGACTATTTTGATCTAAACTGCAAAATTTCCCCTTGAGTTTTGTTTTTTTTTTTTAATTAGCAATGTCATTGTTGTTTTAATACATTTATGTTTGTTGTATAATTTATCATAAGTAGGTTGTAAATATAATTCAATAATTAAGCGTTATTTAAAAAAAAATAATAATAAATAATGATACAGCAGTTGATGTGCAGTCAAGATAATATACGTTTTTGCAAAAATATAAGCCGTTAAAATTACTACACGTATATTGTGAGTATTTTTTACCAAGAGGAAAACGACTGCCGCAGCAGGTTCGTAAAATAGATATGCATAGGTATACCGCTGGCACAGGTGTGTACAATAACTCTCCGCATAATCGCATAATTTAAAAAAAAAATGAATAATGAACGTTGTTTTTAATTAAAAACAAATATTGCGTTCATTTTTTCTCCTATATGTACGCAATTAAGTAACAATAGAATAAGCACGGAACAGTGTACTTATATGAACAATATATTATTTTTTTTTTAGTACATCAAATAATTAAATCGTATAGTGTAAGTGTGATATCAATCAATATCGTTATTGTGTAATTTAAACACAATATAAAAAACTTAAAATTAAAATTGTAGGATCCAATATACCTACTGTTCACATATAAAGATACAATCAATCATATGGTATGTTATCATCATAATATAGTATATATTTTGTGAACTGAAAATTATCAATTATTATTATTGTGATCGCGAACAAATACAATTTGTTATGTTGTAACTAATAAATTACATGCTCGAAAGGTTTTTTAAATCTATGAAATAGATTTAATTTAGCATTGTTAATAATAAATATAATAGTATACAACGTCCTTGCAGCAGTATCCAAGTATATTGATGACTTCCGAGTTGCAGGTACATAACTAATCTTCAAAAGTTACTTTGTTAAAAGCATGGTTTTCAGCTTACACAATTAAGAAAAATCTATCGTGCACGAAAATTGGCATAGTCGCTTACCTATACAGACAATTGATTCGCGTGAACATACAATGTAATCACGTCAAATACGTATTAAACTAGCGCAGTAACATAATTCCTAAGCCCACTATCTAGAGATCCTAGAATTGATGTTGGAGTGAAGTGTAGTCAAGCTGATGAACGTTTTTCATAAGTACCTAGGCAGAGCTGTTTGACTGTTTTGTGGACGTCATTGGACATTGTATTATAATTTCATAAATGCTTTTTTTATATTACCAGTGTCTTGTCTAAATATTGAAAAATCGTTTAAGCAAACTATTATTCATAATTTAATACTTCATCCATACCTTATGTTTAGTTTACCAAGAAAAAATTATGAAATAAAATATATCATAAAATATAAATACTTTATTGAACAAAATATGTGAAATTTAATTATGAAAATTGATAATAATCATTAAACCTATGTACTGTTTAAAAACAATGTACTTGGCATGTATATTGTTTATAAATAATTAATATACATTATCTATAACTAAAACGTAATCATTTTAAAGTATAAAAAAGGCAGAACTATTATTTGTGCAAAACGTTCTTGCTATGTTGTTGTAAGCTAGCAAAAGCTCTAACTTTTACATCAATGTACGTAGATAAACATTAATATTAATATATATTGTATACGATATACATTTTAATATTTATGTGCAATTTTGGCATTTTAAAATAAGTTATTAACAGTGCCACAGTGGATTGACTGGACTGTTCATTGGTATGAAATTTGTCGTTCGTTAGCCATTGCCATCGATGTGCTTTTTACAATTTTCGGTAACTCGATCTCTAACATACTCATACGTTGGGTGCGTTTGGTGAATCATATACGACTGTTGTAGCACACTATTCGACGGTTCTGCACAACCGCTTCCGGTCGCGTTACATTACATTGTTATTATTATCAGGTACAGTACACAGGATGTAACAAAAATGGCAGACAATTGTGATTTATTATAACTAAAAAGTAATGAATTTTTTTTTACATAATATAAGTATGCATTATGATTTTCATCATAGGTTTAATATCCAAATAGTATTTTATTTTTTTTAATTCATAAGAATAAAAAATTATTTTATAAATTAGCAGTTACTAGTAAGTTGCTATCATTTGCTCATACTATTACATCCTGTACCAATACATATGTGTATGTGTGTGTGTATGTGTGCATGTCGTTAAAATAATAGAGCCAAACCCGACCCGTGTATGTTTATAGGTATAATATAATATATATTATTATATATTTATCGTGTATCGTTACCTAAATATTTTCTTTGACAAACCGTGAACACAATGAAAAAGCTACTTACTGTGCCCATTTATTAGTATAATATATTACATTTCCTCTTTTGTGTATAATATACAGTCGCTAAAATCAAAATTAAAAACAATAATCAAATTAGCGTATATGTATATGTTAGCGTTAATGTATGAAATTCCGTAATTCTATAGAATAACTAGTTATTTTATAGAATTACGGGTACTTTCAGTTAATGTATTGAATGAATCCATAAATATATACTTCAACTAGTTATTCTACATACCAACTAGATATTTTATAAACTAACAATAATGGTTTAGTTAATGTATTGAAAACTATTATTGAATAAAAGTTTTATTATTATATAAAATATTAATATTAATTTTTTTTTTAAATTTACAATTTATTTATTAGTACAGGAACTTTTTGGGTGGCATTTAGAATTACAAAGTAAATTATTTTTTAAACATATGCACCGTTTTGTGGTGCACTTTTGTTGGCATGTACATTTAAAAAACCCTTGTCCATTACCAAGTGATTGGGATTCGGATGCTTTTCGAAGGCAAATATCTACATCTGGAACGTCACTAAGCGTAATAAACTTTTCTGTGCATAAACTAAATTGTGACCTCGCGTAATGTTGTTTTAGTATACCGTATTTAGTTCCTAAAACAAAATTATTTGAATTATTAATAAAAAAATTAAAAAAAAATTACCTAAGCGATAAAATCCGTCGGTTGTTTTTTCTAATACAATTGCAATTATAGATTGTGGATCACATTTTGACCTGTCAACATCTGGAATTTTGATTCGTACGTTACATCCTTGAAGAGCAGGTGGATGAGACATATCTGATTGTAGTTTCATTCTTTTAGCTTGACGTTCTAAGCATTTTTTTGCTTCTTCTCTTTTATTGGAAATATTTTCTTTATTTATGCAAAGTTGACACAATTCTTCCTCGGTATTCCCTTCATTTTCCATAAATATATGTTTGCATATTTTACAGTTATTTTTCTCTAAATCTTTGTTAATTTTATTATTTAAACTTTTGTCTGTATTCAAAACTTTCAAAATATTGTCTGGAGTATTTGAAGAAATTCCTACTTTTGGGGAACATCCGAACATAGCTTCATAAGGACTTCGTCCTATCCCCCTATGAAAAGCTTTATTTTTCATAAATTGAATAAACCTTAGCCCTTCACTCCATTTTGTTGTGTTGTTGTCCTTCATCCAGGTAATTATCATATTCTCTATATCTTGATTTGCCCTCTCCACTGATCCTTGGGACTGACTGTGGCGAGGTTTGCCATGAATAATAGATAATTCAGGCCACATTTCTTTTAATGAATCTATTGTTTGGTTTCTGAATTCACGACCGTTGTCACTTTGTAGTACACTTGGAGCACCGAACACCGTAAAAATATCTATGAGACAATATGCTACTTCTTCAGCTCTTTTCGATTTTAATGGTTTTATAATACAAAATTTAGTCAAATGATCTTGATACACCAACACAAATTTATATTCACCATCAGCTTGACTTTGATAATCAATAAGATCTAATTGACATCTACTATTTAATTCAGAAAAAATCATAGGATTTGTCACGATACCTTTTTTTTCACTTTTTTGTTTTTTTACACATGATTCACATAAATTTAAAAAAATTTTGACGTTTGATTGAGTAATATTTTTATATTTTTTTTTGAGTTCATACATCATTCTGTCTCTACCACCATGTCCAATAGATAGGTGAATGTTAAGTAAAATATCATATAATTCTTCGTCGTGGACGTAAAATATAATATCAGAATTTTCTTTCATTGGACGTATAAGTTTTTCATTACCTTGCACTTCTATCACATCATACCGTTGTACTAACCAATAATCACGTGGCGATTCTTTTTTTCCTGTTTTAATACGTTTCACTTCACTTATTAAGGAATCATATTTTTCTTTCAGCAAAAACGTGCTGTTATTACGTTCTGTTGTTGTATTTTTTATAATTGTATCAAATTTGGTTTTCATTTTAAAGCACACTTATTAGTTATTACACTATACAACACTAAAAATGATTAAACTAACTAGTAAGTAAACTCGCAGTACACTGTCACACGAATAAGTCTAGTCTATTCCAAATGGTGTGGTTCAATACTATCTTATCTTATTATTTTTATTAATAACAACAACGGTAACAAATTTTGTATGTTATCTAATCCAGTCCCGGTCATATCTACCTAATGATATAAATTTCATACATTAACGAAAACCCAATCGGTATTTTATATATTAACTAGTAAAACCGTGTAATTTATATATTAACGAACATATTTAGGAATTTTATAGAATAACTAGTTATTTAATAAAATAACGTATTACATACATTACCGCTAACATATACACATAATGGGTGTGTCACTTGTTCGCGCACTATATGTTTAATGTATAGATGGGTAAACTACCGTGCACGCGATTGATTTCCAATATAACACACATACCCGTCGTACTGAAGCGAACGGATGCAAAACCTATTATAATAGCTAATAGACTGTATACTTTTCATATTGTTGTATGCATATATATTCGAGCGAAAGTATATCGTTGATAATAACTTGTTGCGATGTATATATATATATAAATATAGGTAAACCATCCTGGCGCTTAGAGCCTCGTTGCACACTGAAGTGGCAAATTACGGTTGGAAGATATTATGGAGGATGGATGTTCTTAACCTTAATTTTTTTTTTAATAATTTTTTGCATAACAACAGTATAATAACATTTTTCGTAAACGACTAAATGTGTATTTACTGTTTATATCTCATGCTAAGTGTTGCCAGTGGGCGGCTTCTTAATCAATTTATCACGTCCTGTCTGCTCTTAGCACATAAGCTTATTGTACATTACTTGTATAGATTGTTTATTTCTAATAAAAATTAAAAAAAAAAAAAAACTGTTTATATAATACTGAATACTGAAAGTACACGCGTCTCGGAAAGTAGTTTCCATTCAAATATCTTGACGACGAGTGAGGATGAATGACAAATAAGAACAGTGTATAAATTATGATAATTTATAGCTAATACTCAAATATATAATATCGATTCTGAGAAAATAAACACGGGTGTGGAATAATCTAAATTTATATATTATATTTATATAAGTATATATTGTTATGTATAATTATTAAGCATAATAATTATAATATCTCATGCCTAACTATATATAGCCAAAAGATCTCATACGCCAAGAATGGATTTAATGGGTTGGTCTTATTAGCATCTCATCAGCTTATTGAAATTATGCCAGATGACTTCATTGATGAGTTAAGTTAACAAAATAGAAAGTTGGATTTTGTATTTTAACTTATAGATATAAATGATTATGATTATGTATAAATATAATAATAATGTTTATGTGTTACATACTCACTTGTATTTTTAATAGCGTTGAGTTTAAATTAAAACTATTCTTACTAAATAAAATATTTTTACTCAATTATAATATATAAAGTAAATACTTACCTAATTGGTAGGTTTTATATTGGGGTTTTTAAAATATATTTTATCTCTCAGATAACGAGGTTATCTATTATGTTAATAACGCATATTTTGTGTTTAATTAGTTGTGAAGTTATCACAATTTTAAAGCAACTCCAAAATACACTACTGGCTGCACATAGGGATACACATATTGATAGAACGGTGGTGTGAAAGCAAAGCAAAGGCAGTTCTTTCTGAGTCTAGCGATTCAAAGATGAAAAAAAAAATAAATGGTGGTGGGTATTGAATCAAACCGATCCTAAAAGTAACGTTTCAAAGACTTAGTTTATAACGCAATATGCATACGGGTGGATACGCGACAATAAATCTATTGTTATTGCCGACACGCGGATATTGTAAAAATACATCTAGGACGTCGAGACCTGACGGGCGCGGATGAGAAGAATAACCGTGATGCACATGTATTATAACTATGCCTGTAATATTTGTCTAGTAATACGACACGTCGCGTTGTCGTGACATACATAAACAATATAATCGGGATTTTCTTTTCAATAACGTATAGTTATTAGTTTGCTGCAGAAAGATCTAGTGAATCACGTCAATAGATCACAAGTATTAATAAAAATAATAATTACTTACGGAATAACAATATTTCAATTTAAAAAATATATGATAATGATAGTATATGTGTAAAATGTTACTTCGATAAAGTAAAAAACATAAATGAACAACAAAACTACTGATTAATATAATTTTAGTAATTAGGTATTAGATACTAATTTAAAAATAAGTATTTAACTTATTATTTTAACATTATATAATATTATACTATTATAATATTCTTCCAGTCCGTTTATTTTGAACTACACAGACATTATTAAAACGTACAATTATCATGCATCTGTAGAGCCGAAAAATAGGGGATACACCGGACCAACGAATTTTTGAATTTTCTTTGGAGATCAAACAAAATATCGGCATCATGCATTGCCGAGTAAACATATGTATTTAACCTATTGTAAACCGAAACACAACACTCATTATTTTATTAAACTAAACTATCACTAGTTAAGAGGTTGCCCATGCGCATTCGATTTTTAAAATAAAATAATGAAATGTTTAATTTATTCTCGGGTTTCAATACCAATTCGCAATTTTTACAAACAGCTTTTTATCTATTTATGTAAATAGTATGTATAAGTTTATGCACATAAAAAGTATATAAATAAATGCATATTTGTATGGAACTTATAGATTTGGAAACAATTAAATTAATCAGCACTAAATTTTACACACATATTCCTAGGGACATGGTTAGGTTATGTCCCTGTTTTTAAACCCTTATAGATTACCATAGGATGGCTCACAGATGAATTTAATCTATTTATTCTTTTTATATATGTACTTAGAGTTGCCATTAGTTAAATAAAATAAAATAATATTTATGTGACCAATAGCAACCAAAAGTTAATACAAACAAAATATAGTAAAGAGATTTTTTTATAATCTATAAGTTTATACTTAAAAGGCCAATGTTCCACAATGTATTTAGCATATAATAAAACTTAAAAGTCATAAACTCAAAAGCTACTGAACCTCAGGGATACTATGTAAAATAAAAGTATAGCTTATACAAACTTGAGACTATACAATAGTATACACTACCATAATATGCAGATGGATTATCCATCTCGTTTGAACTATAGTTTACAAAGCAAGTTACACCATTGACAAATTTCTGGTGAATAGATGTACCTATATTAAAGTCTAAAATTGAGATACCGCCGATATAATGCCGTATTTTATGATTGTTAGTTTTTATTGGTTGAGGCCAAATTATACTGTAGCTAATATATTATAAAATATCTAGATAGAATACAATACACATTATTTAATATTTATAACATTATAAAATTTATAATTTCCGGGCTCGTTTTTTTGTATGACAGAAGACTGAGGAATACAAATAATAGCGAAAAATGTTTGTATGCACATATACACATACGACTGTAGAAAAGAAAATAATACTACTGTAGCAAATGGAAGATACCGGCATTATTATTTATTGAGCATACATATAGCGCTACGAGATGCGACCTGCATGTCTATCAGTCGTATTTGTAGGATGAGAGGATTATCGCGAAACCACACCGAAATCGGCTTAGCTAAGGGCGCACAGGGGCTATTTATATGCATTATACCTTTATGCACACACGCACCTTCACCACTATACATATAGACTCGAGTTCCATACAAACTCGCTCGTTCCCATGAAATCGATTTACCATACAATTGAAAAAGAAAAAACCGTCCATTGATGTTTACATTTTGCGGACGGACTATGACGACTACCTATACCCCCCCCCCCCCACACACACACACACACACATCAACACACAGTGATGCAGCAGTCGCTCTCGCAATCCTTCCCTCGTTGCTGCACAAAAACCCTTTTCGCAGATGGTGCGCGAACTGCATTGCACAAAAGATAATCGTTCCGGAGACTTGATCAAAAACAACAATGGAAGACCGGCCCGCATTAAGACTTTGCCGGGTCCAGCTGCACCGCGGTAAATTGTATTTACCTGTAGAGTCTGCTCCGATGCTCGTCTTATCGGCGCATCTCGTATACAGTAAATCTCTTGTATTATGTATCAACAATAATACGCGTACATATCGGATTATAATTATTATTGTTGTTGTTCCAAACATTTTTTTTTTTCCCAAAAGACGAATTTAAAAAGAGTTTCGAAAGAGTTCGCATCTGTATTATTACATTGTATCGCAAAGTGTATATCGTGTGTACGAGTATACTGATATATATGGAGTATTTCACCGCGCACTACACCTATATACAATATACTGTATGTATACGATTTGAAATTCGAAACCACGTTATAATATTGTCATTATCGTCGTGTTATGTGCGCGCGGAAAAATAACATTTATCGTATGATATTGTTTTGTACAATAACGTAGTTCGTCGTCAAACGTCCGTTCGATTTTTATCTGTTTATCGTGTGGTTTTACCCAGTGACATATTTATGGGAAGCAAGCGGGCACTTACCCCACTTTAAATACTTGTAGGGGTTAAAGAAAGGCATCAAAGACCTCCAATATGCTATCAGAAGAAATCATTTAGTTTTTTAAAATATAGAAATTTAAGTATTTAACAAACATTTAAAAGATAAAAATGTATGATTATTGTATAGAGTAAGTATATTCATTATTTCACATTTCTCCAGTCATATAATGTATAAACGAAATGTCCCCGTTATCGTATTATCTGGGCTTTAAGAATAATAATTATATTATTTCATTAATTATGATTACTGTAACATTATTTTATTTCAAACAAGTTATAACGCTTTTTTTATTGAGCTTTTATGTACTTAATAATATTTAACAAAAATGGGTATTCATGGTTTAATTCTAAATTGTAAAATGAATTTTAAGACTTGTGTAGAAACAAGCAATTATATGTTATGGTTTCAATTTTGGTAATCAAATTATTCCCCCCCCCCTAGTTTTTTGC